AGGAGAAACCACATGGCCCTTTAAGATCTTAAATTTCTCTTCAGCAAGAAATTAAAGGTCCATTGAGAGTGAGCGTAGGAAATGACACTATGAATTACTGCACCAAGTGACATCTACCCTAGTGACATCACCGATCTGACATCATTTATCTACCAACAGTCTCTTTAAAGCAATCTAGGCTTTTACTAGTAAACACCTTAAAACTCTTGCAGCCTGTATCCATTACCTAATTCTAAAATTTTTTTTTTCCACATTTTAGGTATCTGATAGAGTAGCATTCCACTCCTAGTACCAAATTCTGTCTTGGTTATCTAGTGATACTATAACAGAACTATAACTGAAAGGCTTTAACAATCAGAAATGTATTTTCTTACCATTATAGACGGCTAGAAGTCTGAATTCAGAGTACTGGCTCTAGAGCAAGACTTCCTCTCTGTCATCTCTAGGGAAGGTTCTTGTCTCATCAGCTCTGTTTCCTGGTTGCTTGGAGATCTCTATGTAACTTGGCATCAGACTTCTCCAACTCTACCTATTAGCTTGTTTAATCTCTTTTCTATCTCGGAAGAGATTGACTCAAGATATACTTTACACTAGTCCTGCCTCAATCATTTAACAAAGAAACCTCATTTCCAAATAAGATTATAACCATAGGCATAGAAGCTAGGATTTGCAACATGTTTTGGGGTCATAATTCAATCCATAACACTTCTCCTCTGCAGGTGATTGGTTACTATGTGTCTTCAAGACATTTTCCAGATCTCAAGACAGAATGAGATGTATTTTGTGTGTGCTTCCCCAATACACTCATATTAGTCATATTCTTTCTAAGTAGTGGCCAGTATGTTTGTCTCTACCACTGGAATGAGCTTATGGACTTGGGCCAGATACTTGTCCTCTCTGGAGCTTCTCAACTTGGCCCAGGATATGACATTGCGCACAAGAGCTCAACCAGTGCTTGATGGGGGCAGAGTGGGTATTCACAACCACTGGCTGAGTCTGGAAGCCTAAAACACAAACTTCAGCATATACTCACAACATCATGCGAATATAAGATGGAGATGATCAGACATATTATTAATCACTGGGTTAGAAAGGAATTAAAATGTTTCCATACTATAGTATTTTTTTTCTAAAACAGATGTGCCCTTGTTGTTCCATGAGGAAGTAATTAAGTGTGTTTGATTAAAACATTCATAAATGCTATCATTTATTCAAAGCTACCTATGTACTGTTTTCATTACTGGTACTTGAAATATGTCTGTAACTCCCAATGACTGTAAGTTCTCATTTTAGAAGTGAGGAAACTGAGTCTCAGAAGAGAGTTAAGTAGTTTGCTCTAACAGTTAATCAACTTACCAAACAAGTGTGTCTGTTTGGAAAGCGAGTGCCTTTTTATTATCCTACAGAGTTTCTGATCCTATATTTTAGCTACTACTTAGTTCAACATCCTGAACAGCACACATGAGCCTTTATTCTCAATCTTTCCAGTGCCCAGCATCTCTGCTCTCCCCTCTCTCCCTTTCTTCATTGAACCTTCTTTTTTCCTGGTATTCTCCTTTTGATAATTGCCTTTTGTTTGCATCTTGAAACTGTAGTATTTTCAGTGTCAACAATAAGTTGACATTATTTTACATAGATCTTTTATCTTATTAATAATAATAATGCCAGTTTATATTGTTGTTATTGTTATGTGCCTTCGAGTCATTTCCGACTCATAGCGACCCTATGCACAACAGCCCTAAACCCTGCTCTATCCTGCGCCAACCGCACTGCCTCTGGCACACCCATCCGGATTACCCCAGTCACCGAATCAATCCATCTCATAGAGGGTCTTCCCCTCCTGCGCTGTCCCCCCACCCTCCCAAGCATGATGCCCCTCTCCAAGGACCCATCCCTCCTGGCAACATGTCCAAAGTATGTCAGACGAAGCCCCAGAATCCTTGCCTCCAAGGAGTAGCTTGGTTTAATCCTCTCCAAGATGAATCTGTTTGTTGCAGTCCATGGTACATTCAGTACTCTTCTCCAGCACCACAGCTCAAAAGCATCAACTCTCCTTCTGTCCTCCCTAGTCATTGTCCAACTCTCTGACGCCTAACAAGCAATTGCAAAGACCATGGCCTGTATCAGGCGCACCTTAGTCTCCAGAGAGACGCCGTTGCTCCTGAGTACTTTAGAGAGGTCCCTAACGACAATGTGGCTTTAATAAATTATTTTGTATTTACTAATATAAACTTATATAAATTTATATTAGTAATACAAAATAATTTATTAAAGCCACATTGTATATATTATACTTTGCTTTCTTTGTTCAGTCTTTTGCTCTTATATTTTTTTTTTTTTAGTCTCATTTTATATTTTAAATGTATGGCTTTTCCCCAATATGTTTAAATGATAAAAAAGAAAAGTTGGGTAGATAATTTTTTCTTTTCCTGAAGGTTGTCTAAACAGCCAATTTCAAATTATATATGAAATACAAGATTGATGTCCTTCAATAAGGTCTTTTTTAAGAGACATTTAAGAGGTTTCTTACAGACGTAGACATTTTCTGCCTCTCCTAGTATTTCAGCAGGATTAAGTTTTTTGAATTAGTGGATCAAGTTTTAATTTCCTTGTTCCTTCCTTACACTGACATATGCTTTGGCAAAACAAAAAAGAGACCTAAACATGTCAGTATGATTTTTGTTCAATGAATTAAAAACCATAAAAGTAACAAGATCTGATCCAAATCCCTAAACTCCTGCCATGGTGGTTTTGTCCTTCTCAGTCCCAAGATTCATATTACTGACTTTGAAAAGCTTTCTGTTTGGAAGCAGAAGTAATGGCAGCAGTACATGATTTATTTGAAATAGATTGCAAGAGGTAGCAGCATGAACTTCATTTCTTCTGTGAAAGGGGAATTATGATCTTATAAGACCCTCTGTGATAAGACTTCCAGCTTCTTTTCTTGTCACTCTTTTCTTTTATCTATATCCCCATCAATTCTTCAGATGAAACATGGTAACTTTATTGTTTAAATCTTTGTACACTCTCTTCTGCCTGGAATCTCCCTAGACTGGTAAATTGCCAATTGCAAAATGACAGATTGCATTTATTCTTCAGATACTAGTTTGGTGTATTAGCCAATATAAGATGATCTATGTTACAGTAATAACTAGCCCCCACATCACATTGTTTATAATAATAAAAATTTATTTCTTTTAAAAAAAGTTTCTTTCTTGCTCGGCTGTACAATGGGCAGTGTTCGTTAGAGTCATTCCAGGACTAACACTGATAGAAGTTCTGTCAGACAAGGGATAGAAATGTAATTGAAATGTAATGTACATTGACTTTTAAAGTTTCTGCTCTGAAGTCGACTTCCACATTTAGATACTATTTTTTCAAAAAGTGTGTTTTCTCTTATTGCCTTTCTTCACAATAAAGTGACTTCTGTGTTTTGGTGGCACTTTGTACTTCCCCAGTTTCCTTGCCACAACACCTCTCGTACTCTTTGGCAACTGAACTAAAATCTAGTAATACCTCAGTGCCCAACATTGGTTTTAATGTGTTGTGTTGTTGTTATGTGCCATCGAGTTATCTGTGACTCATAGCGACCCCTATGTACATTAGCTCTGAAAGTTACCCTATCCTGCGCCAGCCAATCTCATCGTCTCAAAAAAACCCCCTCATCCCATTGCTCCAGTCACTGAGTGAGTCCATCTCATTGTTGATCTTCCTCTTCTGCACTGTCCATCCACCCTTCCAAGAATGATATACTTCTCCAAAGGTTGATCCCTTCTGGCCATGTGCCCTAAGGTGTGAGACGGAGTCCCAAAATCCTTGCCTCCAGTGAGCGAACTGGTTTCATTCACCCTTTCCAGGACAGACCTGTTTGTTCTCCTGGCAGTCCACAGTATGTTCAATACTAAGGAACATGTAATTAGTTTGTAAATATTGAGGAAAGAAAGGTAGGGGAAACACGTAAGGAGAAACAGTCTAGGTTGTTGAGTGTAAAATGCTAATAAAAGGAACTGTCTTGTAGGGTTGTTTTAAGAATCAACATGTAAAATGCCTATCCCAGGATTTGGTTTCTAGTAGGCTCTCAATATAGTCATTGTTATTATTATAAGGATATTACTTATAAACATAGTGTTGTATACCGGGAAGTCAAAACTGACTCATAGCTGACCTTCCAGATTTTCAGGGGCAGTAGATCGCACTAGAGGAGATTGCTAGTCTTCTTCCATGGAGTAGCTAATGGATTAAACTGCATGCCTTTGGGTTGGCAGTGCAACTCCTTACTTCAAAGCCACTAGAGCTCCCTATTATAAACAAAGGTGCTACTTACTAAACTGTATATGTGGCAAATATGATGATTTGTACTTTTTGGAAGTTAACAGGTACTTTATGGAAAGTATTGGTTCTAACATGTGATAATGGGATTTATATTGTTTCTTGGCCTTTGAGGCAATTTACCAATAATTTGTGGTAATAATCCTTATAATTTTGAAGGTTACCAATTGCTTGTTTAGGGTGATTTAGAAATGATGCAGTTTAATAATATCATCACTCATTTGCTTTGCTCTCTTAGGGGAGAAGGGAGTGGAGTCAGAGATAATAATTGCCTCTTTTTTGTTGAACATATAAAATGAACCAGGATTAATGAAAAGCCGTTTATGTGCATCAGTTTACTTAATCTTCATACCACCTCATTAAGACAAGTCTAAAACAGTCCTCTTTATACAGATGGAAACTCTGAGACCTGGAGAGAAAGTCAGTTACATAGCTAGTAAGTGGCATAACCAGGATTTGACCTAGTATCTACCTAGATATCTTGACTCATGCTTCTAAGCAATACTTTTACAGATTCTCCGTAGCAAACTATAGAAACTGTACTTAACCCCAAGCATGCCCATGTGCTGTGTGTCAAGAATATTAAGGTAGAATTTAGAATGATGTTAATTTCTTAGCACGCAGTTTGTATACTGGCAATTCTATTGAATGTTCTTTTTGTCTTTTTTTAGAGTTACCAGAGAACACAGGGAAATGCTGGTAAAACTGGCCAAACAGAACACCAACAAGGCCAAAGAATCTTTAAGGAAGATTCGTACCAATGCAATGAATAAGCTGAAGAAATCCAAGAACACAGTCTCAGAGGATACCATTAGACTCATAGAGAAACAGGTATTAATGCCAGTAGATGAAGTGTTGAGTTTTTTTATCTGACTTGGTGGGTCATTTGTACATGTCAGAAGTGAGGAATATGGAAACAGAATTATTTCTTTCAATGATATCTGATCCATGTTGAGGAGCCTCTGCGCTGGCCCTAGCCCTGTGTGGGATCTTGGGAATATGGAGGACAGTGAGCTGCTGTTGAGCTTTTATTACATGTCAGGCTCTGTACTAAACAACTTACATTATTTCATTCATCCTTGGTAATACAAAGCTGTGAGATAGAGAGGAAGCTGATTCTCAGAGTAATTTGCTCAGAGTTACACAGCTAATAAATGGTTGGGAAAGGGTCCAAACACAGCCACACTGAATTTAAGTGTAAGAATTTACACTTTGCTCTTTAGCTGTTGATGGTTTTCTGGGTACTAAGAGCACTTAACAGTTTTCTCAGTGTGTTGAGTAGTGGCACTTGAACAAATATTAAAGGAAGTGCTGGAGAAAGTAGTGAGAAAATGGGGAGCAAAGGTAGAACAAGTGCAGAGCCATGCTGATGTAACAGAACTTGTTCAGTTTGATCATTGTGCTTGAACCTACAGTGAGAACAGAGAATGGATGGAGAAGACAGAATGGTCATGTCATAGAAGGTATTGAATATCAGGTTGAGGAGTTTGAGCTTTTACTTGTCCAGAGTCCCACATTGGCTATGTATCTGTGTCATAATGTTTCATGATTAGAGCACCACAATAATACTGCATGAAACTATCCCCAAATGAGATAATTTGCAGTAATTAAGCATTACTTCTTGTTCTCATTTCTGTGGGTCAGCTAGGTTTAAGCTATTTTAGGCTAGACTCCAGATCTACTAGACCAGGTTCCAGATCTTGGATTGGTTCAGGACTGTTGTATTAAAGAAAACAGAGCCGTGGCTAAAACAGATGGATACACATCCATGTTTCTTACTGCTTTATTCACTCACAATAGTCAAGAGATGGAAGCAACCCAGGTACCATCAACAAATGAATGGATAGAAAAACTGTGGTACATTCACACAATGGAATATTACACAGCATTGAAAAACAATGCACCCACAAAATATTACACAGCAAGGGTGAGCCTGGAGGGCATTATGCTGAGTGAAATATCTGTCACAAAAGGACAAATACTGCATAATACTGCTGCTATGAAACATGACTGACGTAGGGATTAGGGGGGAATAGGAAAATGGTAGATAGATAATGATCACTGCATTAGAACAGATGAGGGGAAGAAAGATCCATAAGGAATATATGATTAGGTATTATATGTATGACAACCATCTAGAACAAGAATATTGTTGCAAAGTGGACTAGGGGAGGGAATAGTGTGGAGGAAGGAAGAAAATATGCAACAATGAATCAATGAATGAAAGTTAAAAAAAAAAAAAAGAACTTTTATGTATACCTCTGGGTATTACAGAGTAAGAACGCTTTCCAGGGCATCTTTTCATGGAAATAGCAGAGGCCATGAGAATAAATCCAGCCACTACGGTGCCTACTCTCATAATATCTGTTTATGTCATGTCACATTGGCCAAACCCAGTGTCACTCAGGGTCCATGGAAGTCTGAAGGAATGAATATATAGTGAATAATAAATAATCTATTATAATATTATGTTCATCTGAGAATTTTGAGAAAATCCTGGTATTTGGGGCCCAACTCACAGAAATTAAGTCAGTGAATCCAAGATGGGGCCTCTAGCCCACCAGGTGATTTCTGATGTACTATCTCCCTTGAAAGTTTCTTCTGGAGGAGGGAGAAATCTGACCTGTGTCTATGAAAGATTGTGGTGACCAAGATAGTAAAATGTAGAAGACAAAACTGGAGGCCTTGGGTTGCTTACATCTCTTTGCTATTGTGAATAACAACAGCAATAAACATGGGTGTGCATACATCTCTTTGAATTGTGGCTCTGGTTCCTTTTCTTTTTTTTTAAAGTTTGGGATGATGAGAATTTATTTTTTTATTAAAGTAGTTTATTTACCAAGTTCATATACGTTATTTTTCACACCTGATCTTTCCCATTTGCTAGGGAGCCCAGGGAAGTTGTTGTAGAAACCCAAACAGGAAATGATTATCTGAACCTGAGAGGTGCAGTGAGCATTAAGATGAGATGATGGCTTTCTCATTATTGGTATATGTGTATTGTGGGCCACTAGTCAATTTTTGACTCATGATGCCCCATGTGACAGTAGAACTAACCTATCAGGTTTTCTAGACTGTCATTTTTTAGAAACAGGTCACTAAGTCTTTTTCCTATAGAGCCACTGGGTAGGTTTGAACTGCTAACGTTTCTGTTAGTAGCCAAACACTTAACCATGTGTTACCAGAATTCTACTTAGACAACAATTTGTAATGAGTAGCTTGATATTACTATGCCTAGTGGCATAGTAGGCACACAGTTCAAGGCTACTAGCTGTTCCACAGGAGAAGGATGGGAAATCTTCTGTGTAGTTAACTACCTTTGAAAACCCACTGGAGGGTCAGCTGTGGGTTAGTTCTGACTCTTCAGTCCACAGCAGCAACAGTGACATAGTTAACCTAAAGGTTGGGGTTTTAAATCTGTTAGCTATTCTATGGGAGAAAGGTGGGTCGGCTCATCAATAAAAATACATAGCCTCTGAAACCCAGTGTAGGATCACTGTAAGTTGGAATCAGTTCAGCTGGATGGCACTGGTTGGTCTGTTTCTTTTTAGTGTAACGTAAAGTACATACCCCAAGCTCTTAGCTCAGCAATCTTCTTATCCACAACAAAAGCATTATTTGGGGAAGATTAAACAGGAATGTGGACAGGAAGAAGAATGCGAAGGAAAAAGAAGAAGATAATGAGCTACATTTAGGGGGTCACCTGGGTGAGGCCATAGTTGACAAACTACTTCTATTTCCTGGCCCACCCCTTGGAATTCACGCTGCAGTCACTTGGGAGAAAATTTTAGCAGAACTACCTGGCCCTGATCCTGCATTTTCTGACTGCAGCATTAGCTTAAAATTGTCTTTTCTAGCCATTATGTTAGCTCCCCCTGGTCTCCAGCTACCTTAACTGCAGGCACATGGTCTTGCAAATCTTCAACAGCTGTGGGATTAGGATAAGAGAGAGTGTGCTTCACATACTGAGCAGCAAAGTTGAGGGAGACCCTGGTAATATTGGTGGAGAGACTGTGGCACTGCTGTGGAGAAACTAGGGCAAGGTGTAATCAGAGGAGACCTGAGATAAAGGCCTCAGTGAAAGGTTTTGCTGTTCTTGCCAGTTGATTGAAGAAGCGGACTTATAAATGCTCTGAGGCAAACCTTGCTGGATGATTGGGATTTGTGTTGCTGAATTGAAACCAGGACTTTCACTAACTAAGGAATTGTATTTTGCTGTTAATCTGGTTTGGGATTGCTGGACTAAATCTGGACTAGTGTTATGAGATATCCTTTTGTCTTTCCCACTCCCCAACCTATTTCCCTTAAAAAAACCCCACTCTGGTACCACACTATGAGTAAAGTCTGTGAGTCAACGACAAGTATCAGACTTGAATGTTTGGTAGAAAGAGGTGCTGGAGCATGGGTGGTGGCAGGTCTGACCAAGCAGCTGTCTATTTGCTGCTATGGATATTATTTATAGGAACGGTTCTACTTTATGAAGCAGGTAAAAGTCAGACTCAGCCACCTCCACATTGTATCAGCTCTTTTTGCACTGATTTACTATGTCTATCTGGGAATAGGTTTTTATTATTATTATTATTATTAAATTTTATTAGTTTTAATGAACATTTACAGAGATTTTGGGTTTTCATTCATTCATTGTTGCACTGTTTTCTCTACCCTCCTCCCTAGTTCTTTCTTCTTTTTTTTTTTTCCTTTTCCCCCGGGAATGGGTTTTTTTATATACAAGTTTATTTACATAATTCTAATACATTTTATTTCAGACCAGATTCTTCCAGTTTCTCTCATCTCTCACCCATCAAATTATACAATCCCATGATTAATCCCCCACCCCACACACATCTCATCTCTCTGCTTCCACCCTCCCCCTTGGATCTTCATACTCATTCTACAATAATAGTTTTATACAATATTTGTCCTTGTGGGGCTGAGTTAGTTCACTCAGTGGGAATGCATGGTTTTAATAAGTTCTCCATATGATTTTTCAACATCAGATGTGCAAATAATTGCAAAAAAAAAGCCTCACACTTTACACCAGAGAGAGGAAAAGAGGGAGTTCTTTGCCTGGTTGCCAATGTGCTGTGACCCCTGGGGAAGTTACAGACTCCTTTGAGTCTGTTTCTTCTGTAAAAATGAATTGGTGACGAGCTCTGGTGGCCTAGTGGCAGGAAACTGCACTGCAATCCCAGAGGTGCACGGTTCAAAATCCACGAGATGCTCTGCTGAAGAAGGAGGAACAATCGCCTCCTGTACCAGTCAGATCCAATTTGACGGTACACACATAAAAAGAATGAATGAATGAATGAATGAATGAATGAATGAATGAATGAATAAATAAATAAATAAATAAAAATTATCTTTAAAAAAAAATGAATTCCTGCTTTGAAGGGTTGCCCTGAGGATGTAAGAAAGCACCATTAGAATGCCTGATGCCTAGATTCTCAAAGCTCTTCTGCTCCTCTCCTTTCCCTGCATTATTGCGAGGAGGTTCAGAGATCAGGCTAGCTTTTACTGAGCACTGTTGTTGTTTGCTGTCAAGTTGGAACTGACCCGCAGTTGGTACTCCAGAGAGTTTTCAGAGACATTTAATTGCATGGGAGGAGATTGCCCATCTTTCTGCTTCAGAGCAGCTTTTGGATTTGAACTGTGTTTTTTAGAGATTCCAGGGGAGCTTCTTACCATTAGACCACCCAAGCTCAGCACTGTTGTTTTCTTGTTGTGTACTATCAAATTGGAACTGACCCAAAAGTTGAACCTCCAATGGCTTTTCAGAGGCAGTAATTGCATGGGAGGAGTCTGCCTATCCTTAGAACAGCTGGTGGATTTGA